TTTTTTTTTAACAGAAAATTACTTACGCAAGTACCAGGCCTTCCACAAGGGCAGCTGTCCATCCGAAAAGCACCGGGAGAATGCCTTCTCCAAGATCAGCCGGATAAAGTCCTTTTTGGCCTTCATGGCCGGCAAGGACTCCTCCCTGGCTACCTGGCGCTTTTTAGATAAGACGGAGCAGATCATCCAGTAAGTGCGGTCTTACTGCTCTGCTCGCTTCTTTCTTGGTTTGACATGTATGCATGCATCAACCTATGACTGTATGTGTGTTCCCCCCGCAGATGGCCCAACGTCCTGTCCGCGTCGGGGAAAAACGTCACCACGGCATACTTTTACCTCAGGAATGTCCTGCAATTCATGGTCTATTTTAAGGAGACCCCCCCGAAGTTGGCCAGGCTCTCCCAAAGCCAGATCACTGGTGTGATCCGGGCCGTGAGACAGGCCATAAAATCGATTTCAAAAAAGATGTTGGCCCACCAGCTCACGACTAAGGACAAGAAGTTGTCGAAGGTCGTGTCGCAGGAGTCGCTCAGGCGGTGCCAGCTCGGTGCGCGGAAGGCGATTCCTAAGCTGCTGAGTAAGATTTGTTCACCTAAATGTTATGTTTGGCGTAAAAGCAACACAGCTCATCACCCTGAACACACCATCCCCACTGTCAAACATGGTGGTGGCAGCATCATGGTTTGGGCCTGCTTTTCTTTAGCAGGGACAGGGAAGATGGTTAAAATTGATGGGAAGATGGATGGAGCCACATACAGGACCATTCTGGAAGGAAACCTGATGGAGTCTGCAAAAGACCTGAGCCTGGGACGGAGATTTGTCTTCCAACAAGACAATGATCCAAAACATAAAGCAAAATCTCCAATGGAATGGTTCACAAATAAACATATCCAGGTGTTAGAATGGTCAAGTCAAAGTCCAGACCTGAATCCAATCGAGAATCTGTGGAAAGAACTGAAAACTGCTGTTCACAAATGCTCTCCATCCAACCTCACTGAGCTCGAGCTGTTTTGCAAGGAGGCATGGGCAAAAATTTCAGTCTCTCGATGTGCAAAACTGATAGAGACATACCCCAAGCGATTTACAGCTGTAATCGCAGCAAAAGGTGGCGCTACAACGTATTAACTTAAGGGGGTTGAATAATTTTGCACGCCCAATTTTTCAGTTTTTTATTTGTTAAAAAAGTTTGAAATATCCAATAAATTTCGTTCCACTTCATGATTGTGTCCCACTTGTTGTTGATTCTTCACAAAAAATTACAGTTTTATATCTTTATGTTTGAAGCCTGAAATGTGGCAAAAGGTCACAAAGTTCAAGGGGGCCGAATACTTTCGCAAGGCACTGTAAGTGAAATTTAAATCTCTTTTTGACAGCTCAATTCACAAGGCGACCTCCCACCGCACACAAGGTTCACCGAGAGATTGAGAAGGAGGGGTGGACTGGCAACTGTCCCAGCCCAGGTGATGTTGTGTCTAAATGGAGACCAGCAGTTAAACTGGCTGTTGAAAACGACCCGAAAATAATAAGGATGGTCACCAGACAGAAATGGTCAGGTCTGGCCATCAAGGATTTTGGTGGAAACAAAGGCCAAGGTATGCTCTTTTCACTGTGTTGAATTGTGATTATTATCATAATATAATATAAGTATGACATTTTAAGCAGACCATATTCTAACCATGCATATTATGTTGTCCATACACAGGAGTTGTTGCCACCAGGAAATTTCCAAAGGGATCGATGATCTGTGATTATCGTGGCAAGGTGATCACAAGAGCAGAGGTACAGGAGCTGCAGACGTCCATCCAGGAGAGCATGTGCTACCTGTTCTTCTTCAAAGCTGGCGGCCAGCAGCTCTGTATTGACGCCCAGACCTTCCCCTGTGAGTGCCACCCGGACATGGACACATTTGGCCAGAAAATCAACCATTCCAGGAAACATTGACACTGAGCAACTTTTTTTTTAACTGCACTGTTTTTTTCCCTTCCACTTATATTGACATGTAGGGGGGCGGCCCCTGATCTCAATGGGTTTTTTACCTGGTTAAATAAAGAGAAGTGTGCAGGTGTGTGGGGGTTAGGGTTTTGATGATAGCATTAGATATCTGTGGCAATTCTAGATGATGCGTGCATTCCAATGATGCCAAAGATGTATGTGTCAGAGCAACACACAGAGGAAACAATCAAGATTCATATAGATTCATCAAAGAAAATAATCAGCAGATTCAACTTCAGATGTATTCAAACAAAGATGTATGCACTGAAGTACACTGACACTCACACACACACAGGGTCCTGTAACCACAATATATTATATTTAAAATATTTGGGCTACTGCACCCAGGCCAGAGAATAGTGTTGAAAATGTTTAGTGTTCACATTTCTTTTTCTTGTTACTCCCTGCAGCATGTGCCATTCATTTTGGTTAGTGAGAAATAAATGATGGTACAAGCAGGTCCACATTTCCCCCTGTCATTCTCTCCTCATCTCATTCAAATGTGTTAAAAATTAGTTAAAAATTAGTTTTATTGTTCAAAGTGTTATTTACTGTTTGATTGTGTGCAGATAAAATGTTATATCATGTAGTGGTAGTTTATTTATATATATTTTTTGTTCAGCATATCAGATGTTAAAAATTAGTTTTATTGTTCAAAGTGTTATTTAGTCAGGGAGTTGGATGATTTGATATGTGGTCGATTCTTTTCAAGCAAATGTGACACTTGATTGCTGTAATGTTTGCTTTAACCCTTGTGTTCTGTTAAGGATCTTAATAAAAAAAAAGTTTGGTTTGCAATTGAAAACAATCTCTTGGTCATTTGGTGCACCCACCACATCCATTTTAAGTCCAAAAATGCATTGTAACAATTATTTTTTATAAGGCCAATTTTCAAATAGAAGCTAGATTTGGATTTCTAATGTAAAATGGCTTGAACAAAGACAGGAGAAATTTACTCTGTGTTCCTGTGACATTCAGCAACCCAGACAGCCCATTTTAGGGGTTTTGCAGTGTCACAGATGAGAGCTGCTAAGTGTAACTGACTATTAGCATGAAAATTAATATTAAACTGTGACATATTGGCGTTTGGGAGGAAAGAGGGCATTGTGAGCAGCATGTGTTGCAAGTCTGGGGGTGCTGTGTCACCGTTTCCCCCTCAAAACATGTGAAAGGTCAATAGGTCAGCATGCATGCAGGCAGGCAGGCAGGCAGGCTTCATTTGAGGCCTGCACACTTTAAGTGCAAATAATAAAGACTGGAATATGTGGCCTGTGTATGAAGAGGTGGTGGGGATTGTGTTGACACGTCGCCACTATCCCCCCGGGCTGGGGGGTCACAGATCAAGGTGACAAGGCCTCCCTAAAGTCCTTACTTTTTGAGTACATTTGGTGGGCTTAACTCCTGATGCGTAGGTGCTAGAGGGTCAAAAATGCAGCCACCGTATCAGGAGGAGGTGGGGAACAAGTGTGCGAAGGTTTGGCGGAGCTGCGTCGCTCCTATCCCCCCGGGCCGGGGGTCACAGGTGCTCGGCCTGCTCTTCAAACTTTGAATATGTTGTCGGGGGACCCGGGCGGAGCGGAACGGGCCCGGTCCGGTCTCACTAGCACCTGGTACGGCCGCGTGCGCTGCCTGACATGTGCCATGACTTTTGAATGGGAATTTGGTTTAGGAAAATGAATGGAAGAGATACCGAAATGTCAGAGCTTCTGTAGAGGCCCCAGTGGCCCCGGTACTCTGTATTTTAAAGACTTTGACATATTTGTGGTCCACTGTTATAAGCTGACAACCTGTGCTGGCCCTGGTACTCCAAAACACACCTCCACACAACCACCCCCAGTGTATGAAACACTCTATCCCAAAACAGGCTCTCGTCTGTGGGCAAGCTGATAGCTGTAATGACCCTGGTTCTATTAAAAATTTTTTTTTTAGTTTTTCACACTTTTATGACTATGGAGGCCATGGTACATTGTTTTTATTAACATTTTGACAGTTTTCTGGCTCTGGTGACCCCTGGAACTCTGCTTTGACAGCCTGGAGTACCAGGGGCTCTGGCGCCCCTGGTACTCCAGTGTTATTTTCCCATAGGGTTGGCACCCCTGGTACTCCAAAACACATGTGGCACAATTCTCAGATTCTCAACATGTCACTGAGAGTTAAGACAAGTGTCCAGCTTGTTTAAGAAAGCAATGTTATTTTCCCATTGACTTGGTGCAGCTTTTATTTCTCCACACAACCACCCCCAGTGTCGGCCACACTCCAGCCCGAAACAGGCACTCCCCACTGGGCAAGCTGACAGCTGTCATGACCCTGGTTCTCTTAAAAATTTTTTTTTACTTTTTTACAGTTTTCTGACTATGGAGGCCCTGGTACATTGTTTTTATTAACATTTTGACAGTTTTCTGGCTCTGATGACCCCTGGAACTCTGCTTTTTAAACACTTTGACAGCCTGGAGTACCAGGGGCGCCAGAGCCCCTGGTACTCCAGTGTTATTTTCCCATTGAGCTGGCGCCCCTGGTACTCCGCCACACATGTGGCACAATTCTCAGATTCTCAACATGTCACTGAGTTAAGACAAGTGTCCAGCTTGTTTAATACTCCAGTGTTATTTTCCCTTTGACTTGGTGCAACTTTTATTTCTCCACACAACCACCCCCAATGTCGGCCACACTCTACCCCGAAACAGGCACTCGTCACTGGGCAAGCTCACAGCTGTCATGACCCTGGTTCTCCTAAAAAATTTTTTTTTACTTTTTACTATTTTCTGACTATGGAGGCCCTGGTACATTGTTTTTATTAACATTTTGACAGTTTTCTGGCTCTGGTGACCCCTGGAACTCTGCTTTGACAGCCTGGAGTACCAGGGGCTCTGGCGCCCCTGGTACTCCAGTGTTATTTTCCCATAGGGTTGGCACCCCTGGTACTCCAAAACACATGTGGCACAATTCTCAGATTCTCAACATGTCACTGAGAGTTAAGACAAGTGTCCAGCTTGTTTAAGAAAGCAATGTTATTTTCCCATTGACTTGGTGCAGCTTTTATTTCTCCACACAACCACCCCCAGTGTCGGCCACACTCTACCCCGAAACAGGCACTCGTCACTGTGCAAGCTCACAGCTGTCATGACCCTGGTTCTCTTAAAAAATTTTTTTTTTACTTTTTACAGTTTTCTGACTATGGTGGCCACATTTTGACAGCTTTCTGGCTCTGGTGACCCCTGGAACTCTGCTTTTTAAACACTTTGACAGCCTGTGTTATCTTCCCATAGAGCTGGCGCCCCTGGTACTCCGCTTTTTTAACAGCTTGGCTCTCATGTAAAAGTGGTTAAAAATGCCACTGCTAGCTCAGCAGTGCCATAAAACGCTGCAGGATGCTTTAAAACCTGTGGAAAACGGTTGGAAATAGCCAAAACTCAAACGTAGGACGTAATAACGGCGCTAATGACATTTGGAAACCCTTTGAATGAAGGCTGACTGTTGCCAATTGTCACAGACAAAAGCAGCGGATTCGCCTGTGTAAAAGTGGTTGAAAATGCTTAGGTTAGATTAGATGTGCCATAAAATGGGTGCTTTAAAGTTGTGGAAAAGTGCATTAAAATAGTTGGAAATAGCGAACACATCCACTGCAAGCATTACGTGACATTTGGGAACATCGACACTGCTATTTATGGGTTTCGCAGTGTCAGGGACAAAAGCAGCGGATTTGCCTTAACCCAGTGTGTTGGAGAGACAGCCTACTGGGTAAAGTGCTGCGCTTCCCTGCGGACTCCGTGGGTTCGTGTCTCACTCTTGGCGAAAATTATTTCTTCTTTATTTTATCACCTTTGTTAATGTGTATCGCTCATATAGATGTATTTATTTAGTCATTTTTTGACACTTCGAAACCCTTAACATGGCAGCCTCGGTGTGCCAAATGTCACGCTTTCCTGAAGTGTGTGTTTGCTATTTAGAAACGTTTTAATGCACTTTCCCACCATGTTAAAGCGCCCTTCAGCGTTTTATGGCACTGCTACTCTAACCTAAGCATTTTCAACCACTTTTACACAGGCAAATCCGTTGCTTTTGTCCGTAACATTTGGCAACACTGAGCCTTCACTCTAAGGGTTTCGAATTGTCAAAAAACGCCGTTATGACTTCCGTGTTTCAGTTTTCGCTATTTCCAACCGTTTTTTGAGGGTTTTAAGGCACTTTTCCACAGGTTTAAAGCATCCCTTCAGCGTTTTATGGCACTGCTACTCTAACCTAAGCATTTTCAACCACTTTTACACAGGCAAATCCGTTGCTTTTGTCCGTAACATTTGGCAACACTGAGCCTTCACTCTAAGGGTTTCGAATTGTCAAAAAACGCCGTTATGACTTCCGTGTTTCAGTTTTCGCTATTTCCAACCGTTTTTTGAGGGTTTTAAGGCACTTTTCCACAGGTTTAAAGCATCCCTTCAGCGTTTTATGGCACTGCTACTCTAACCTAAGCATTTTCAACCACTTTTACACACACAGGGAGCTGCTTTGTTCCTGTGACATTCGGGAACCCAGACACCCCATTCTAGGGGTTTCCAAATGCCACGAGCAATCAGGAGGAACCATTGATTTTCAGGAACACAGACACCCATTTTAGGGGTTTCCAAATGTCTCCACCAATCAGGAGTCATGCAAATTGCACAAGGTCAATGCAAAAAAGGAATGGCACCAGCCAGTTTAGAAGTTTGACATTTCAAAACCCATAGAATGGTTTCAAAATGCACTCTTAGGGTTTCAAAATGCCACACCCCATTTGTCAAAAAGGTTCTTTAAAAAATCTGACAATGTCAGAAAGTTTCTCAAATGTCAGCCCCCTTTGTCAAAAAGTTTACCTCCTGGCAATTAACACGAGAACCTTTCTGACAATGTCAAAACGTTACCTTCCTGTCATCCCAAATGTCAGAAAGGTTACCTCCTGTCATTGACAATTGAGGACCCTGTTTTGACAATGGGGAACCCCATGCCGAAATGTCAGAAAGGTTACCTCCTGTCTGTCAAAAAGGTTTTCTCATGTCAAAAAAGTGCTCCACCTGGTGGCCAAAAAGGGAATTTTGACAAATGGGAACCCAAAACCCAAACTTTGGATTTTTGTAGCTCGGAACCCGAACGAGCCAGCCGAAAAGTTGCAAGACCCCGCAAAACTACCGAAAGAGCTCTACGAAAATGACTGGTCCTGCGATTTTTAGCGGCACCGATTATGCTCTGTAGGGTGACTTGAAAAGTGGAAGTGGGTTCCCTTGCCATCCCATTCATCGGGTTTCGAAGTGTCGGGCCGGGCAGGAAGGGAACAGCGTTAGGGCCGGATTTAGGTAGTGCGGGTGCTAGGTGTTGCCAGGTCAGACAAATTTTGGGATCAGAAAAAGAAGCCCTCTCGTCAGCAGAGGAGCAGTTCTGCTAAACCGGTCCTCTCTCTACTCCGACAGTGGCCCAGGATTAGGGAGGTGGATGGGTTACTGTATAGGATCATTGATGATGTGCAGGTTGGTGAATGTCAGCAGCTTCTTTTACCTGAGTGTTTGAAAGAGGCTGTGCTTAAAAGCGTACATGACTGCATGGGACATCAGGGAATAGAGCGTACGCAGAATCTACTACGGCAGAGATGTTTCTGGGTAGGGATGTATGAGGAAGTGGAACAGTGGATTAAACAGTGCCCAAGGTGCGTTCTGACCAAGATGCCACAGCCCAAGATACGGCCCCCTATGAAGTCCTTCCTTGCCACACGACCCTTGGAGGTTGTAGCGGTGGATTTTAGTGTGTTGGAGCCTGCCT